CCTGGGGGAAAAAGAGGAGACAGATGTGAGCTAGCAGGCATATTTGCATTTATGAGCGTGGGGGCAGCCGCAAGCCTTGGCCCTTCTTTCCATAGGGGTGAGGTGAGCAAGGGGAACCCATGGCAGGTCCTGCGCTGTGCCCCCAAGGTCTGTGCCACCACAGAAGAACCCTCATTTCCCAAAGGAAGCACAGCCATGCTCGAGATATTCCTCCTTTTTCTCTTACACACTGGCCAGTCAGCAAAGATGTGCTGGGATAGAAATGCCTCTGTGGTCTGTGCAGCTCCAAGGATATAGGGAACAGAGCACTCCTGGCAGGCAGTTACAGAGCCACTGCAGCTTCTTCTACAGGGCAGATAACTCCTGCAGCAGCCCTCAGCCCTGCATGCAGAAGGTACCAAAGGGATTTTTTTAAACAAATTCCTCATTCCTCCATGTATCCTAGCAACACCTCTCTCAGGTTAGAGATGCGATGCCTTGCCCACCTGTTGCATAGCAAGCCTGAGGCAAGTTACATATTGCTTTCTTCCCAGCTTGCCCCACTAGTACGAAGCCGCAGCAATTAAGGAATATGCCACAATCAGGACACCCCAGTCTCATTCACTCAGGCCGGGTATCACATGCAGGTGTTTGCATCTCTAAACACTGTGAGCTCAGGAGGGGCTCGTGCAGTGTGTGTGTCATCCAAGGAAAGGTCTTGCTGACACAGGCTGAGGGCTTTGTGATCAAGGCAATAAAAAGGAGGAGGCTTTAATCCCTGCCGCAAAAATGCTTTAGGTGCAATCACACAGTGCTGAAGGAGATCAGGCCCTGAGTGGGTATCTAAATAAGATTTCCAAAACCACTGTAGGTCCAAAATGTGTGCAGTGACCAAAACTGAAAGAAAATTCAACTCCTGCCATGCCCCTCCCTCCAACCAGATCAAGCTGCAGTATAACATAGCAAATGAGCAGTCCTCGTTAAAAAAAAACAAAACAAGAAACTAATTGAAAAGCAATGTTTTTCATGGGATATATCATTCTTTTTCTCCCTCCTCTAAAGCACCCCTTAGGCATTTTCTATTTCTTGTGGCAGAAAAAAAGAAAATTAAAATATTTTAGAAATGTTCATAGAACTTTACAATTTTGTTTTCTAGAACAATTAAAATAAATTTAATCAAAACCTAAAAAAAAAAACAAAAAACCCTACTACAAAAACCTGTAGAATAGATCACTTTGTACACGCAGTGAAGATGGTCCTTTCCCTATGATTCTCCGGCCCATCAAATTAGACTTCCTTTCTTTGGCTATTACTGACCAAATCTTTTCAGCTACAGTATGCATTTGTCACGTGAACCTCAGTTATCTTAATTTATCCTGTATCTGCAAGCAGATAAGAAAATACGTATTTTGCTGCTTTTTTATATTACTGAACTAATCACTGCTAAGTCCTTTTTGTTCTAATATATTAAAGGAATTCAGTGGCTGCAGAGGCACATGCAGGAGAGCCTCTGTCCCCAAGGCCAGTAGGGAAGATGAGGTTATCACTGCACAGTCAAAGATACATCTTTTGCTGTAGATCTCTTTTATTCATCTTCACTCAGAGGAAAATATGGGATACTTCATAAGTGGTTTTGGCACTTGTGAGTTATCCCTCTTTCCCCACTCATGAAGACAAATGCCGTAATGAAACACAGCCATCAGGTATTCTCTATATTTGGAGTACTCAAAGTGTGAACAATGATTATGCCCTTTCATTGGATAAGTTAAGGTTGACTGCCTAGCTACCTGGGGAAGACAGGAATGATTTGCACTAGCTCACAGGCAATGAATGGAAGAAGGTGGCATACCTTCTCCCTCAGCATCAGTTATTCTGCTAATCTCAGGCTGAATAATACGTTCAGTATGTCAGACCTTCCTTTTTACTTTAAGGCTACTTGGCAGCTGAATCTACAAGCTGAGATGAGTCCAGCTGAGATGGCAGCAGCCACTTCATTAGTTCAATGTCTGTTTGGTTTTGACACTTTTGTGAAACCACTGACGAAGTTCCTAAGACAAGTGAGAAAAGGATTTTTCTAGGTAAGATTTTTTGCAAGTGTCACATGAATTTTAGGATGCGGTCCTGGCCTACGCTACTACACAAACAAAACTCCCTTTTGCATTGACAGGCATCATGAGTGAGAACTGGATCATGTTTTCTGTATGAGATAAAACTTACTGCCTTCATAGCTGTTTGGGGGGTGTGTGTTATAGCGTAAGGGAGGAAATTCAAGCATTTAAAGTTACACTTAAATATGAAAACCTGATAGACATATCCGATAATAACAACATAGCTGTTAACAACACTGAAAATGCAATGGTACTGCACAGGAGGCTGAAACCCTGTCTCTGGTTAAGTCTGAAGATAATCCACAGGTGAGAGCAGCTTCCTCATTTATTTAACACATGGAGCAGTGTGTATTGTCTACTGTATACTGTGCAGTACTGGGCAGAAATACCCTCAGGATCCCATCATCCGGACACTGCACAAATAAGAACAGAACTTCCCAAACTTCTGTGAACAAGGCATAAGCCCTGGAAAGACAGGTCTTCACATGCAAGGCAAGAGTTACATTTATATTTTACTGAAGTGGAAGAGATGCACCATTCAAAACCAATCTTTTGAAATCTGCAGTGGACTAGAAGCTTGAAGGATGCAAGCTCACAGGGGCTGCTTCATCTTAAATTTAATAACAGATCACTGGCTGTTTCTGATGTAAATGCGGAGCAGCTGGTAAACACAGGATAGCTTCAGACACAGCTGATCTATCGCAGCCTTGCAACATCACTGACTTCCACATCCACCAGTTATTTTTGTGCAGCTACTAATAATAAGGATGTGCTAGAAAAATAAATTAAGTATTAATATGCTCCAGGGAGAGCATCTGCAGCAAGAAGCAGGTCGTGGGTTAAAATAGCCACGTGCGTCTTAACCAGTATACAAAATGGTCAAAGAACAGCTGCTGAAGAGACTCATGAGGCGCAGGCACATGCTATCTAGAAAATATTAAGAGTATTTTGAAGCATGCACTGGCTCATATTCGGCACCCAGCAGCTATTTTAAGCGCTCAATGGAGACAAGCTAGTGTTATTAGGTCACTTTTCTTTCAAGAGACAACAATACATTTTTGAGCCAAATAATCCCATCAGAGGGCTTTGTAAACACCTAAATCAGATGAAGTGGCTGTGATGATCTCATGTCAGGAAAGATTCAGAGTCTGAGCTAAGGCAGATTTTTTCACAACACTTGAAAAGAAAGTCAAGTTATTTGCTGGGCAGTTCTGGTGCTGTGCCTATCATGTAAAAGCAGCTTCCAGTGAGAATCTCTGGAGTCAGATGAACTGCCTATTGGTGCAGGGCAGCTGGTTCAAGAAGAAAATCTTGAGCTGAAGCATATAAGATAAGGTTTTCTTACCTTACTGAGAAGCAAAGCTGCAGCTAAACAAGAACTGCAAATACAACACTCGCTTCCTGGCAGAACAACAGCCTCAGACTCAAAAGGAAAGTGTTCCAGTCCTCTTCTGGCCTCAGCCTCACCTCACCTCTCTGTCTCAGTTTCACTCAGCCTCATGTCTTTTAGAAAGCACTTTGAGACCCACAGACAAGAAAAAGTATACAAAAAAACAGATGATACTATTATTACCCGATGCTATGGCTCTGTATTATGTGAAGCCATAGACAGTCACAAATGAACATCCTAAATCAGAAAGATGGGAAGAAATGTGGGAACAGAAGAGGAAGAAATTGGATTATGACAGTGATAGAGAGAAAAGTAGTAGATGGCAGGGATTTAGAGACCTTGGGAAGCACTCTGATATCTGCATGATGGTCTCAGTGAAGAAAATTGTTAAAAATATGACCAGAAGAAAGAGCCTGATCAGAAACAGTCAGCCAAAACTGGTTTATTTTGTAAAATATTTCAAGCCTCCTTTTCCCTCCTGTTTTTGAAAGCTCAGCTGTACGGCGTGGAGAGGCTTGAACACCAGGGAACTGTAAGCACTTGTGTGCCTCTGAATACTGTGACACAAAAAAAGCAGAGAGTGAAGGGTGCCTAAATATAGTTCAGAAGGCTCCCACCTCTCTGTACTAAGGTTCAAACTCCACAACCAGCTCAGGTCAGTAATTTTCAGTCAGCATTTATCCACTAGCAGAAATAAGGCCATTTCACAATCACCAAAGCTTAGGGCAGAAATGATCATAGCTGATGAGGAACAATGTATAAATAAAATACTTCCAGTGAATGCCCTAAGAAGAGTTTGTCACTGCCTGCACTTTATTAAGTTACAGTCTAGTGATATTTAACAATTTTTAATCTCCCAAACCACTGACTGTAGTTCCTCCGCTGGGACAAATGAAATGTTGATCTACCCCACATCATGATCCAGCCCTGAACTTACAGATGAATATACAATTGTGGACTTGGCCTACATTTTCTCACAATATATAATACACTACTTTTGCTTAGAAAAGGGAGTTCTAAAACTGAATACACCAAAGATACAGTCTCCCCCTCCCATCCCCTTCCTCTCCCCCCACGCTCCCCAGCGCAGCAGCAATGGTGACAGACAACAGCAAAAGCAGAGGCAGAGGAGATGATAAAGCTCAGCTAACCTCATGGAAAATACGTAACACCTGAAGCAACATACATGCAATAACCAAGGATCACAAGGAAACACACATGCTCACATTCTTGAAACTAAGAAAAAAGCTCATTTACTCTTTCAACAACTATTTTGTTTCAAACGCTCTCTTGGCATGAATTCCATACACAGTCTTTGATCAGTACTAAGAAAAGTACAGTTGTGAACCAAAAAAGGAATGAAATGAAGTACCAATGAGCCTCTGAAACAATGTACAACTGCCAGCCTCTTGTGGTACCTCTGTTATTTGCAGAATGCAAGTGACTGAGGGCACTGGGGCAAATACTCAACAAGCCATTTTTTTCCCTGCAACTAATCCATCAGATTTGTGAGTTTCACTTACCCGTCAAGTTCTTCAAGCCAAGTTCCCTGAGTCCAAAGTTACCATCCTTTCTGTAGTTAAGAAATATTGCCAAAGCATATCGCTCTTCATAGAGTTTGGTCCCACGAACGATGCGCAGGTTCTCCAATGGCAGGTATTCAAACTGATTCAAAGCCACCAAAACATATCCTGTGACTTCTCGGATAGACTGAAAGACAAAAATTAAACAAACACATTAGAAATGGTCCATTTTTAATTGTTCTGAATTTCTCGTACAGTGGATGCTTTAGTATGAGATACTGGTACCCAAGGAAAAAAAAAAAACAACTCTGAAAAACAAATTCTATTTCAACTTATTGATTTTATCAGCATTTGTGTTTCAATTTAACTGAGTTTATTAGAGATACTGGTTGGAAAACCAGAAAATAAAGAGGTAGACATTCTTTTCAGTTTTATTAAACTTGAGCAGAAATTCACAGTAAGTATTAAAGATGCACGAAAGGATGACTTCACACAACTGAAAGCAGAGGTCAAAGGCCTCTGCAGGAAATGAGCAGAATCCACTGAGGCAATGCCACAGTTCAGATAAGACTGTCTGTCTCTGTCTGCAAGTAACTCTCTGTTGCGCAGGATATTCCAGGGTGAGACTGAAGTGACACAACACCGGGCAAGAGAGACATCTCTAGAAGAGCTCACCATCAAACAGGAACTGAAATGGGGTAGAAATGGGGGGCAGAGGTTTGGAGGAATAAATACAGACAAAGCACATACATATTAACATCCACTTTTGCACTTCTAAGCTAAATCAATGACTGAACATTTGCAAAGATTCAATTTCAAGTTTCATTTGGAAGTGCTGGAACCCTACATGCTATATATGCCAAACTTTGATCAAAACTGGTATCAAAACCTTTAGCAAAATGATTGCTGCATCTTTTGGTTGAGTGAAATCTTTGGAACTTATTGCCTGGGTTGTAAAGGGAAAAAACACCCCAAACCCCAATAACTAGAAACAGTTTTTCAAAGTCTGAAAGATTTACAAAACTAAGAGCCACACCATCCTCAGCAGGACTTTGCACAGGCTGAGGGATGCTCCTGCCCAGAGCTGCTCCCAGAAACAGGAACTCCATGTTGGAAAGGGTCTCTCAAATACGTTTTTCAAATCTCACCAAGTTCCATGCCTGCAACAGCCTGCAACCACTGTATACGCCTATATTTATGTGTGTATATTTAATGGACAGAAATTGATATAACTACTTGTGTGCTTAAGTGGATGCATGGACTTTTTCTTCCCTTTGGCAAAGTCAATACCTTAAACAACACAGAGAAAGAAAAATTCTGCTTAGAGTAACGTGCACAGACTATAACTAACATGATGGGGACTCCAGTCAATATTGCAATAAAAACAAACAGGCAAACAATAGCAGGCATCGAATTAAATGTGTTGTGTATGTATCGTTAATAAGGAAAGGCAAGATGGATTTGCAGCACAACGGACAGGCTTTTGCTTTGCTGGTTCAGCGCCGTTTGCCATGATTTCATACATAAGTGTGCAAGAGCCTTTTAATTGGGTTTATAAAAGTTCACAAGATTATTAACAAGTGTGGCAGTATACATAAGGAAGGATTTATATGCCACAAACTCTAGGCAGTAGCTGTCCTTCTAAAGTCAAACGTCTGTACTCAGCTGAAGCTGCTGAAAAAGCTCTGGAGCTATTTCAAGACTTGCTTGGCATCTAAACAGAGCACAGTGTCATTACAGGACTTTGATGAGAACCCAGTGAGTTGAGCTAGGTTGAGAAGTACGGTTCAGTAGCTCAATATTAAATGTGGAGCTGCATTATACCCTGGGACACTGATTCCATTATAATCAGAAGCTTTCCAGCACTTTCATGATAGCTCTTTGCTTTCAGACATTTTAGCTTAGCCAGTTTGGTCAGAAATCTATTTTTCATTGTACGTAAAAATTTCCTTCAGATGGCTTTTTTAGCCTCTCATCAGAATTTAGGAAATATTAAAATTATACTCATGGCTTCAATTTCTCCACTGATATTCTAGGGTTACTGTGACTGCTCTAATTAATTTAAAGGGATGTTTAACTTGGAATTGAGTTGAAAAAAATTAAAAGCAGTTCCAAAACTGCATCTGACCAAGTCCTCCCTGCCAATTTTTGTCACTTACAACCATGTTTTCTATTTTTAGGGTACGTCTTGTTTACTGCTGTACAGCAAGTCCACCTGAAAGAGTCCTAATTTAGCATGGCACCAAAATTACACATACACATTCTCACCAGCAAATCATCATTCCAAAATTTAAAAAGAGGAGAAAAGGACAAAGTTTTGTTGTTACTAATTGTTAACTGCCACTCCTAATGCAGAATCCTTGGTACTTTGTTTGATGGATTTATCTGACTGAAATGACAAATTATGGCAAATATTTTGACAAAAGTTAGAGGGTCCTTTCCAGTCCCATGGCTTCCATCAGTATCGCAACACCTTTTTATATTCTCGAGAAACTGCCATGTTAATCTGTGCAAAACAAAATGATGAAAATAAACCAAAGGGTTTCTAATTTACTAGAACATAGCAACCTGACTGACTAAATCTAGCGATCCGTTATACTAATTTGGGGGGTTGTGAATGAAAAAGTCAGAGCAATATCATGTTTTGCAGGATGGTGTGTTTTGACTGGTCCAGCTTGAAAAAACTTACTGGGAGAGCAGCAGGCAGCTCAGGTTTTCGCCATTCCTGGCTGACGCTGTCACTTTGCCAGTAACTGCTAGTTTTGACATGATTCCTACTAAAAATGGACACCTGCCTGCTTGGAGCTCACTCCAAGCCCTGTTGGAGTGAGCTCCAAGCAAAGATGCCTGTTGGCTTCTATGCAGACTCACAAATCCTCACACCAGACGAGATCAGCCAGCCTGATCCTCTGCAACTCATGCCAAGGCTAGGCGTAATTTGCACCTCCCATCCTTTGTATACAAGACTGAATGCTTTCCCGTTCAGGTATCCTGAACTCAGGTATAAGCTCAGATATCCTAATGCTCTATTTTAGCTGCTTTTGTTTCAGCATTAATCTGTGTCCCACCAATAAGGTGGAGTGGCTCACAGCAGTGGTAGTTTGAGTGTCACCTAGTTTGATGCTCCTGCTAGGGCTGGAGGTCCTCACAGAAATACATTTCCCATGAGTCTGTCCCTCAGGAAAGAAAAAGGGAGACAAGAACGCAAATAACTGCATTTCAGTTCCCATGACCTACAACTAGAACAGAAAGACACAGATTAATCGCCAACAGACTTAGAGCTGAAAGTTTCTGACAGGGAAAACTAAATGAACTCTGGCAACCTCCAGTCTTGCTTGCTGACCATTCTGATTTTGCAGCACTCCCCACTCCCCACCCGCCCCACCCCATCCCATTACAGCATTATTTTGACTGGGAATTCCAAGACAGCATGATCATAGAATCACAGAATCACAGAATCACAGAATCATAGAATGTTTTGGGTTGGAAGGGACCCCTAGAGGTCATCTAGTCCAACCCCCCTGCAGGAGCAGGGACACTGCTAAACAGATCAGATTGCTCAGAGCCCCGTCCAACCTGGCCTTGAATGCTTCCAGGGATGGGGCCTCCACTACCTCTCTGTGCAACCTGTTCCAGTGTTTCACCACCCTCATTGTAAAGAATTTCTTCCTTATATCTAGTCTAAACCTACCCTGCTTCAGTTTAAAACCATTTCCCCTTGTCCTAACACAGCTGGCCCTACTAAAAAGATTTTCCCCATCTTTCCTATAGGCCCCCTTTAGGTACTGAAAGGCCGCAATCAGGTCTCTCCGCAGCCTTCTCTTCTCCAGGCTGAACAACCCCAACTCTCTCAGCCTGTCCTCATAGGACAGGGGCTCCACCCCTCC